GTGCCATTCCACATTATTACAAATAACTTCATTTCTGGACATTTATGGTTTGATTTCTTTGTATGTATGGATCACTTGGGTTGTTACCGACATCTGTTGAACATTTCATGTCATTAGGACCTCTAGTAATATATTTACTGAGAAAAATGGTGACGTGTTCAATACTTATTTTACTCGTATACCACAATCAAGTAACTGTGAAACTTGTGAAACTTGTTAACTTGTGAAAATGCCGCATGTATCAAAAATAAATTTGCCTTTGCATCTGAACACCCTGAAATCATCTCTGTCTCTTTAAGAACCTCCTATCGTTTCTGACACTCCCACTTCAGCACATCGTCCTATCAATCATAACAATGTTTTGGGGGAGGGGTGTCCTGTGGGACAGGAGCTCTGATACAGACTGAGCTCCAGGGAGGAGCTAGGCACAAATAGGCAGTGCTTTGTACCAGCAAGCATTTAGGCAGGTCTGGGATTTTTCAAACATGCATGAATGAGTCAAAGCAACACTTTGAATTAGGGCTGCACAATCAATAGGAAATTTAGTGTCATCGAGATAACAGCCAATATGCATATCGCAAAAACTGAAATAAATGTTTGGCTCAAAAGTTTGCATTTAGGAGTTTTGTCACTGAGACAAATCAATCAAATGGAGCCCTTCAAGTATTTGGCCAATTGGATGGATCTCTTTATATTTTTAAAAAATTCACGCTGGAATGGATTTTTTTTTGCTCTGAACCCAGAACACATCAACACTATACTTATGTACACGTGGACAAATATGTTGGTACCCCCTGTTTAATAAAATAAAAAACAACAATTGTCACAGAAATAAATCTGACAAAAGTAATAATGAATTTAAAAAAATCTATAAAAATGAACAAATAAAAGTCAGACATTGCTTTTCAGCCAAGCTACAACAGAATAAAAAATAAATAAAACTCATTAAACAGGCCTGGACAGAAATGATTGTAACCCTGAAAATAATGTGACCAGAGGGTCATGTTAAATAAAGATGTGTCCACTAATTATCATCACAGGTATTTTCAATCTTGTAAACAGTCAGTGGGCCTGTATTTAGGTCTACAGATACTCACTGTGCTGTTTGGTGACATGGTGTGGACCACAGTCAACATGGACCAGAGGAAGAGAAGGAAAGAGTTGTCTCAGGAGATTAGAAAGATAATTATAGACAAGCATGTTAAAGGTAAAGGTAATGAGACAAGCATGTTAAAGGTAAAGGTTATAAGACCATCTCCAAACAGCTTGATGTTCCTGTGACAGTTGCACAAATTATTCAGAAATTTAAGATCCACTGATCCACAGAGTTTCTCAAACTGGGGTCCCAGGACCCTCAGGGGTCTGCGAGAGGTATCTTAGGGGTCCTCAAAAAATGTCACTAAATTGTTAATTTGGTTTTTAGTTTTAAAAATGCATGGAGAACAATGAACTAATAAAACAAACATAAGAAACTTAATAAAAAATATATTTATTTCTGTGGCATTTGGGGGTTGAAATGACAATAAATTCTTTTAAAAACAGCATGGGGTTTATGAGGGGGTCCCTGGAATTTTTTTCACCCTTGTAAGTGGTCCCCAAACCCAAATAGCTTGAGAACCCATCAGTGTCGCACCATCCATCGTCGTTTGAACCAAAGTGGACTTAAGGGGAGACGACCAAGGAGGACACCAAATCATAAAAAATTCAGACTTGAATTTGTTAAACTACACATTGACAAACCTCAAAGCTTCTGGGAGAATGTCCTCTGGACAGATGGCAAGGCACATCAGCTCTATATTCAAAATTTATATTTATTACTTTTGTCAAATTCAAGTTATTTCTGTGACCATTGTGGGTTTTCCTTTCATCAAATGAGGGGTACCAACGATTTTGTCCATGTGTGTATTTGTTCATTTATCGCAAGTCATATCATTATTGCAATATTTGTTATGCAACATTGCAGGTTTTCCCCATTATCGTGCAGCCCTACTCTGAATATGTTTTAATGAGGGAATGACATGAGATAAAGCTCAAAAATGTCCATTTACCATAATACCCTGCATTAATTTGAATATGTAAGAGGTTAACTTAAAACTGCTTTTAATGATAAGTTAATGAAATGTAACAAAATGTTTGATGAAATCAGATTATTCAGATATGAAAACCAACTTATTAAAATTTGTTTCATCTTTATCTACGCAGTTTGCAACAACAAAAAAAAAAACAGCCTCAAACCATTTACGCCACAATATTTATTCAACAATATACAGATTTATCTCTCTCTACATCTCAGACTTATCTCTATATTTATCTCGATTTTAACTTTATACATTTTTTTATTTACAAAATTTAAAATAACTTTTTTCTCCATTTATACATCATTAGTACAGTGTTATCCAGCGGCTTCCCTTGAAGCGTCTAGATCAGACCCATTGTTTGTTGTTTCGATTTTTACACACCGACCGAGCAGCAGGCCGACAGGAGGGCTCAACATGCACCAAAAAACCTCGCAGGACAAATAAATGGTTTTACGGCGCTGCAACTTTTAGTTTAAATCTCTGCGCCCACCACCTAATGAGTAATCCCAAAAAAATGTACACAGAACAGAAATAAAAGAAAATGGGGAAAAAAAATGTTGCATAGAATCGATTCAAAACAAAATTTGGTGCTGCTTTTTTTTTAATTGTGGCTTTTTTCTTTGAGAAACTCCTGAGACCTTCCATAACCCATAAAGATTTTTTTCTTCCTTTTTTTTGGTTTTGAAACAAAAATAAGAATAAATAGCTGTACCCTTAGACTTTAAAAAAAAATAGCCTTGTGTTGGATGTGACATCCCCATAGAACTACTTTCAAGAGACTAAAACCCTGCACTGAGTGAATACACGTTTTCACATCTATATGTCATTTCTTTAACTATCTTGAGAGGTGGATGGATTAAAGTGCATTAAACTGCATGAAAACAGAGTCCACGGTAATCACATGCAGGATGGAAAATGAACTTTCTCCACCAGCCGTGCTGATTGGTCAAACACAAACATGAGGTTGTTTTCATAACAAAAAAAAGGAGGTTTCATTTGAAATGCAGGTGGACCTGTTGAAGCTTATTCTCTTTTTTTAAACAATCGCAGGCTGGCGTTCATTTCCCACCCCGATCACATGCAAAAAACACCACACACTGAGGGATATTTGTTACTCAAAGTCAACACACGGTACCAACACGACCGCTGGTAGCCTCGGCGTACGTGACGGAACATCGTGAGCACGTCAGTTTTTTTTTTCTTTTTAAAAGAAACAGCAAAACCGTGCCACTCGACTCCACGGCAAAGTACAGCAAAAAAACAAGAAACATGGCTCACAGAGTTACACAGCACAGGGATGACAGCTTATTCCAGAAAGCACAAACTACTGTTGCACTCGTGTTACAAAGAAACCCAGCTGGGTAGGAGGAGGTGAGGCCAAACGGACGAAAACCAGAGGCCTGAAATGTTAAAGGATCAAACGCAGACRCACAGAAATGACTCGGGACTAGAACAAGCAGCTGAGAGGGCTTCAAGCACACCAGGAGCTTAAATGAGTGTGATTTCCACCGAACTGAACTCTTTATATACATTTATCGCTCCACCTCATCCAGGAGAGCAACGCAACAGCTGACATCTACAGTTCGCAGATGAATACTAACTTATTTTCACTGTTCACATGTAAAACGTAACGACTGTGACAGTATTGTCCCACACTCTTAAAATTAAGAGAAAAAAACAAATTAAATAAGAAAAGGTGAAGCTGCATCTAAGGGCACGCAGAGCCAGGTGTCTGAACATCCCACTACATCGCCCCCTAATTTCAAATTAAGACTACACTGAAAAAAAGGCATTTTTAAATAAGACACTCGGGCAAAAAAACCAAGAACTAAACGGAAACTCCTCAAAGAGAGGACGCGTGTTGGCACATCTGGCTAAGACGAGGACACGGCTCGGGTTTGGCTCGCTGCTCTGAAACAGCTGTGCTTAGCGGAGAAAAACAAACACAAATGAAAAAAAAAAACAAAAAGAAAAGACAGTCTGAGCTTGAAGCACTACACGAGGCTAGAGAGCAATGTGCGCAGATGCAGGCATTTCACAGCAGAGAGGAAGTCCATGCACACAAAGATTTAAAAAAATTGCACTTAAAAGCCCATAACTTTAAAAAAAAAAAGAGAGAATTTAAAAGAAAATATTCAGGCTAATCCACTGGAAATAGTTGAGACCTGTGTTGAGCACGAATGAACTGAAACAATGGAAGRTTTTCAAATTATTACAGAAGAAAACAAAATTTAACATCATTACAGTTGAAGTTGGAAACTATTTGGGTCAGAATCCAGTTTCGAGGACAAAAGTAGGTAAAAATGTTTTTCTGATTGGTTGTTTTCAAACGGCAGGTGGACACACAATGAGGTAGAACAAAATGTTTTGCGACGSTCCAATCAGAACAGAACTGATGACGTGCAGTGACAACTATATGCCTCCAGAGGGCAGCACATAACCAGTTTTGACGTGACGCTGAGCACACGAGCCACAGTTKTCAACAAACACACACACACCAACAAGTGCTTTCAGGAGGAAGGATCCACGGAACAGCTGGAAACTAAAGATACAGTCGTTGCCTTTAGAGTCACATCAACAAGACTCAGCTTTAAGTTTAAAACCACAAAACAGAAGTCTCTTTGTGTAGCTGCACAGGAATGATTTCTTTACTTGTCAAAAAAAAAAAAAAAAAAAAAAGCTCGAGGCCGGACGAACTTTCACCACATTCCATTCTGGTTCAGGAACAATCCGAAAAGTTTCAAATCAAACGAGAAGGTTGCTTTATCTGCAACAATAAAATATAGATTCTGTCCAGGAATCTAAAGAACAAATGGGGTTTGACATCAAAACTAAAAAAAGAAAACCTTCTTTGGATTGTGATTTCAAATTTTGTTTTTTTCCTCTTTAAAACCGTATGACTGATTTTACTCATCGATAATGAATGAAGAATGATTGCACGTGAGCCCAGGAACGAAAGGAGAGAACCAGGGGAGTAATCCCCCGTTTCTCTCCACACGAGCGATGAGTTATTGCTGATTCTTTTTGACTGATTTAGTCAAGAACTAAAAACAAACTGAAATGTCATGAGAACTTGCATCTATGTGAGAGTTCGTTAAATGTTCCCTTTGAGGAGAGTTTGTGAGGAATGCTCGGTTTGGTCGGAGGGGAGGATGAACCGTCGATTACAACTTCTGATCTCAGAAACTCTCCAGCAAAAGCTGCAGGTCTCATTTTAACAGATGATAACGCTCTGGAGATCTGTTCCTACTTTATAAACACACATGTTTATGAACTGAAATGATTGGGATAAAAATGTGTGTGYGTTATGAATAGCTATGAGTGTGTTCTCCTGTGCTGGACATTAAACCTGGGATATGATCTGCATGTTGAAGCTCGGGGAGCGGGACTGCTGGGTCAGAGGAGCTCCAGGGTTCAGGAGGGCCTGGGCCTCCTCGGGCCTGTTTAGGTGCTCCTCCTGCAGGCTCGTGGTGGAGAGGCGGTGCGAGCCCCCGGCTAGAAGCCTTTCCCGCTCGGAGCCTGCTGCCCCCTCCTCTCGCTCGCCCTCGCCGCCGTTCAAGCTGAAGTTCATGCAGTCGAAGGACTTGCTGGACGAGGCGCTGCCAGTCCGCACCAGCGGGGGCCCCGCAGGGAAGCTCAGGTGCTTCTTTATGGGACTGAGGTGGATGGCGTCCGGGGGCGACTGCTGCCTCTGGTGGTGTTTCGTCCCGGCGGCCTGCGGCTCCACGGTGAGCTCTGCCTGTTTTTCTGCCTCCCTCTCTCGCTCCCTCTCCTTGTCCCGAGCCAGGCGAGCTGCGAGGGCTTTCTTAATGCTGCTGCTGCTGCTGTTCAGGCTGCCGCCGCGCGGACCCACACCCCGTCCAGACTTTGTGCCGCTGGGCTGGCTGCTGTTGGACGCCCCGGAGGAGAAACCTTCGTCTGGGTCGTTGATGTTGAAGGAATCCTCCCCGCCGCTCATCCCATCAGCATCTGAACAGGAAGAAAGGGTTAAAAAAAGACAGAACGAGAGAAGAACAGAAACTAGAAAAAGGCTAAACGGATGGAAATGAAGTGGGATCTTTGTAAGTTCTGTGAAGCAGACTCAAATTTCAAATGTCTTTTTTTTACAAACTCAATTTTAAAAAAAAGTTAGGACTTTTTTTTTTTACTTACATTTTACACAAAATCCCAACTTTTTCAAAAATGTGGTTGTATAAAAAGATGAATGTTTTTCATCTCAGTTTGGACAGGATATAAAATGTAAATAATAACAACAAAACATCAGGACTTTCAGTCTGTTATTCATCTTAAAAGACAGAAAAGTTCTTAGTTTTCATTTATCGTTTTATTATTGTGCTATTTTGTTTAAAAAGTATGTTTTAATTTAATTAGAGCCAGCTGCTGCTTCAATATCTTAACACTAGTTTCTGATCATCTGGCATAAATGACTAAAATCTAATCTGCAGACTTCAATAACGTGATAAATGTTTGTGAAAGTCTAAACACTGAGATCAATCTATTTAATAAATAAAACATAATTTATCTTCTTACGGCCTCAAAACGAATGCTGAAAGAGAAAAGAATGATGAATTATGAGGAAATAAAAACATGTTAGTAATAAACAGGATGCAGGGTAAAGCCTGTCGAAAGAAGAGACAGATAATCAGCTGTCTCCGTCATGCATCATTGGGACAAGCAGAATCGAAAAGGGAACGACAGACAGAAAGAAAGAAAAGAGGGAACTGATAATAACTGAACCGACATGCATATAACATGAGGAGAAGACACATGCTCTCCTGCCCCGCCCCTTCCTCCCGCAGCGTCATCGGGGTCGGCCAGCCGGGACCAGCCTGGGCTCCTCATCAGATCCATACTCTCCCAGTCACACCTGACGGCCCACAGAACTGAACACTCTCACAGACTGACCCACATAAACAGGTACAGACTCCAAGTTTCAGATTACAGCTAAAGATACATACTATTGGTTCCCACTTGTTTCACATGATCACTATTTACTTCAACCTGCTGCAGCACTGTGTGCTGCTGACAAGGAGCATTTTAAAACTCTGTCCTGGTGGTGCGTTCAAGGACCATCTGGACAACTACAATTACAGAGATCTCAATTCAGATAAATGTATATTAATAATACGAAGTCCTGAATACATTCACAATTTATTGCCTTTTTTTAATATAAAAAAGTAAGATGTATAAAAGACGCTCAAAAAGGAAAATAATTAGGTCCTCTGGTCGGTTTCTTCTACCTGAATTACTGAGATGCATCAGAACATAAAAGATGCTGTCATTTTGTAACAAACCTAACTGAAAAACGTTACTTTTGAGTTATTTAGTCCTCATCATTGGTCAAAATAAAAAACAGGACTAACATCTGTAATTTGTCCTGATGCATCTCAGTAATCCAGGTAAAAAATCAAAAGGAAAAAAATTGTATAGGTCCTCTGGACGGGTTCTTCTTTAATGAAACGTTTCGTCTCTCCTCCAAGAGACTTCTTCAGTCTGAGAGTTTCAGGCAAAATTCAGGCTTTTAAGTCCTGCCTCCAGGTGACTGATACTTACATCACATGGCTATGGTTCACAGGTGACTCATACTCACATCACTCACATCATACTCACATTACATCTGTAATTATTCACAGGCCAAAGTGAAAACATATAATAAATTACACAAAATAACTGAATAAATGAGCCTGAATCTATTTTTATATTTTGGTATTTAAACAAAATTTTAGTATCAGAAATTGCAGAACAAAAACAAAAGAGCTAAAAATAAGACATTAAACTAAAAACATTCTACCTGTAGTTTGACTAAAGTTTAGTTTTGTGAGGTTTATTTGGTTTTTCAACAATTATTGTGGCCATTAGTTGTCAATAAATAAATGTGAGCCTAATTATCCTAAACTTAAAGTATCCAATAATTTCAAACCCACCATCAACTCAGTTTGTTTAACAGCAGAACAAATAACTTCCACTTGAAATATTTAACCCAAAGCAATTCTAAGTTCATTAAATACATTTCTGTCCTTAAAGAGGGCAAACAATCCAAATAACAATAAATGGGAGGAAATTATTCTGATGCAAAGTAACAGCTGAAATGTGCAAAGTCATGATAAAGTAACACAGCTCTAACACAAATGCACACACACACAGACACACACAGAGCGGCTGATCAGTTGTACCTGTGGCAGATTTCAATTCAGTGAAACACGCTTTGTTTCCCTGCTGCATCTGCACTAAAGTCAACAACAACAAAAATAAACAAACTACCGGAAGGATATTGGATGGTGCTCAAACAAACATGAAAATAAGTTGACCTTCAGGCTCAGGATTTAAAAACAAAAACAAACGAACACGTTTGAGCGTGAGACAAAATGGGCCACAGAGTCCTGGCTCAGATGATCAGTCTGTCCATTTGGCCTTGTCACTGGAGACGCTAAGGTTCCAGCGTTTGGTGTTTTTCCCCTCGTTCTGAAATCACTGAAGCTTGCTGAGTCACATGCATGCAGGGCTCATTCTCACTCACTGAGATGAGGACAAATAATTTGCATAAAGCTGCTAAGACTTAAAAAAAMCCCAAATTTTTCTGCAGACTGGCTGCAGCAGAGGGGTGCTGCTGGCCTGAAAGACCAAACATTTGGTCTGATCAGACACAGGCAGGAGTAGTGCAGGCACACGATGTCATGATCTCTGTGCCAAATCATCTACATCCCCTAATAATAATCACAAAAAAATAAAAAATAAACAATCCAAGGAGAATAATGATCAGAAATGGAGAGTTGAGAATGAGAAAGCCCACAGTTGGGTGTTGTAAACATGCTCAGTGAGTGACAAAGACAGGGTTCTGAAGTTGAAGGACTGATGAGGAAGAAGATGACGACCGGTTCATGCAAAAACAGCCTCTAGCGACACTTCCTTCAACCCCAGAATAGGCCACTCCTCCACACGTAAACACAGCAGAAAGTAGCAATGATCTGTGGTTGGCGGGCTGTTGGCTGAGGGTCTTATTGACTGGATGAGTTAGTATACTCTGGGGAAGTCAGGAGGCAGAAACAACGGGAATGGAAGAGTTAAAACGCCTCAAGCTGAGGAGTGGGAGGGTAGATCACAGGGTCACCGCTTCCCAGAGACCCTCTTTTCCCACCAGTGGCCACCCCTGTCCCCTACCCTCAAGTGTGATGGGGGGAATGATGCTGCTGCTGGTGCTGTGGTGGCTGTGATGCCGCCTCCCTCTATCCTCGTTAGCTGCAGGGTCCCAGGGAGGGTCGTGGTGGACGAGGCTAGCAGAACTGAYGAGGAGGCTCAACTCTGCTTCGGTTGAGTAGTCAAAACAATCTGAGAGTCAACAACACAGATGAGGAAATGTGGTTCTTTAGTAGCAAGCTTCAATCAGCGCAGGCCTTTTCCTGGGGATAGCTACCCTAAAATGTACCTACATTTCTTTTATGGACTATATTTATATACATATTTTTTAAGTAAAATAAAAATCGATAGCATTTTAAAAAATTTCCACCACGTCAATCGTCCATTTATAGGCTCCAGTAGCACCATTTGGCTGCTTCATTATCCAGAACTGACAAATTATTACCATTTACTGGTGACATAAAGCACACRATGCACTTAAGACATAAAAAGCAACAAAAACAACAAGGAGCAGTGAGTGGAGGAAGCACTTTAACACAGCAGCTATATGAGCACATATACAAACAGTAACTGAGATGAAACACCATTTAGATGATTCTAATGGTGTGACCCGTTTATAAAGAAAACAGGTTTCCTTCTCACTGCTTGAGACAAACACCACAGAGGTAGTTTCTCACCAAATAAGTCCATCTTGCGGCCTTTTGTAAATTAGAAAAAAGCAACAAACTGTAAGCTTAAKTATGTCTGAATGTGCTCTTTTTACAACTTTATCCACAAACTAAACCTACGACTTTAAACTAACAATAGAGCATTTTGAACAGCTGTGTTATTCTTGTTAAAATCTGCTGAGGTCTGGTTCACTACAGTGTGCTGAAGTCATAAAGACTGGCAGCGTTTTCTGGTCTTACCCGCTCTCTTCCAGCGGTGGCGCCGTATGGAGGCGGTGGTGATTGCGGAGATGGATATACGGCTGATGGTGGGCGTCACCTCCACCTGAAGCACCTTGCGTCCACGTGGATCCTCGGGAGCGTTTTCCGGCAGCGAGTTTTTCATGGCGTTTCCCAGCTGATGTAAAAACACACACAGAAAACATCCAAGTCCAGCTGGTTTTCTTTTTATTTATATTTTGCCATCAAACTCCTTCCATAAATGCCGTGCTTCTTTAACCATTCACTTCTCAAAATGTTCAGTTCAATCAAGAATGGTGTTTTATTACCTTTTTTTTAACTATTTCGCTTGCTGACACAGTGAGATATTCTCAAATATTAAGATAATTTTTTAAATGAGAATCTACTTCAGCGTAATTACTCTATTTTTGTATTCTTATACCAACCTAAGCTTTTGGCTGTGGATTTGCTAATTTCATATTATAGTGAYGGCTTAGCTAATTTTAAATTTCCACCAGAGTTTTGTTATTTTGACTTTTAGCTTCAGCTTTTCTTTTCTTTAGCYTTTAGCCATAGTTTTGCTCATTTTAGCATTTAGCTGTTCAACTAATTTTTGCTTTAGGCTCCAGTTTTGTTTTGTAGAGCTCAAAGCTGTTTTTATTTAAATACCCATTTTAGCTTTAGCTACAGATTTACTCATTTCAACTGCTAGCTATTATTTTGCTTAATTTAGCAATTTACAAATGTTTTGCTAATTTTGCTGTAGCCCTCCAGTTGGTTTAGTGGTCTGGCTCACTCTCCAACAGGCAGCCGTGACTTGTACTTGCTAGCTTTGATAGCGCTGCGCTAAAACAGCAGGACTACACTTTGGTTAATTTTTACTTTTAGCCTGCAGCTACAGTTTATCAAATTTTTCCTGTTAGTTAGGATTTAGCAAAATTTACCTTCCAGCTATKATTTTTTTTCTAATTATAGCTTCTGTTCAGCTTGTTTCACCTTTTACTATCTGTTGGCACAGTCACTTCGCATTGAAAAGTCTCAACAGCCTCAGCAGTCCGAATGCTAATGGTGGATTCACACCAAACGCGTTTTGAGCTGCAGGAGCAGCCAGTTTACATGCAAAGTCTATGGAGGACGCGCCTCAAGGGGTCGTGCGTCGCGTCACGTACGTTTTGGGCGGCGCGCTAGGAATGCGGAAGGGGCTGCAGAGCATTTTCCGTGCATGCGGTGCTGCGAAAGCAGTTGCCGCCCAAGTTCAAAAACCTGAACTTTTCGCCGCTCAACGCGTCTTGACAACCAATCAGAGAGACTCATTTTTCCCCATGACAGTTTCCTGAATGTTGCCCACTAAACCGAAACAGACGGATAGCTGAAATCGACCGTCTGAAGTTGGATTTTCTGGCAGGATATATAAGTGCCGATGTGGGTCTGCTGCTCGGGACAAAAAAAAAAAAACGGCTGTCAGCTCGCAGCTTATGGAGTGGCAAAACTAACCGGAATTGCCTCTAAATCATCTAGTGAATTAATTATCTGCTGTGCGCAACGTTCGCTTGCTCTTTAGTAAATAAATCAAAGCCATTTTGTTTATTTTATCTTTATTTCACCCGGCGAGGACAGACCGGAAAAAAACCAAGACGCTCCTCCCTCTTCAGACGCGCGTCTGGTCTGCGTCCCGGTCTGAACATAGTGCGTCCAGCTGGAGGCGTTGGGTGCTTTTTCACTGCTCAAAACGCGTTCGGTGTGAACGTAGCATTAGAGGTAAACCATTCCAAAGGTTTGGGGCAGAAACTGCAAAAACCCGATCACCTCTAAATTTTAGACTACATCTAGGAACATCTAAGAGAATCTGGTTGGATGACTGAAGTGCTCTAACAGAAGCGTGGATGTTAATGAGATCACACAGGTAGGCTGGGGCCAGAGCCATATTCACCATATGTTTATATATAATGAAAAATCAGCTTTCTTTACTTATTTAAATCTGGGGTGTTTTAGTGGCAATTTGTAGGAAAACTGTAAGAAGACATATTTTACTTTGTTGGTTTTACAAACTCTAGCCATATTGATGCAGACTGCACATGTCTGACCCACACACACACACACACACACACACACAC